CGGAGGTCAGAATTTCTTTGACTTGCCCTTACGACTTGCTTATTGTTTACCCCAGTATGTTTTCTTCCCCTAAAGCTGTGATTTTTTTGCTTTGGAAAGGAGGTAGGCTGGATGATTTGAAAGTGATGGCAGGGTGATGGACACTTAATCAGATGAGAGGAGTTGGTTGAATCACATAACTCAGTGAATCCATTACAAAATTCCAGTCACAGCACTAGGAAAACAACATAAGTTTACAAAACCTTGGTCAGTGTGTGTGCATAGCATGATTCAGGTCCCCCGTTATCTTTGTAATGGATATTTCATTCGGCATAATGTTTCCTGGCATTCCAAGTACAACAAAGAGATTTAAACCTCAGCATTCAAATTGCGTAGTGGCTAGAGATAGAAGTTGCACATAAACCGGTTTAAGTGATCAGAAACTGGTTTAAAACCTGTAACAGAACATAAGTTCAGTGCATGTAAACCAGTTTCAAAATGGCCGAAACTGGTTTAGGATAAACCCGGTAGAATGTAGTATCAGACTTAACTGATTTGAGTCAAATCAGTTTATGGAACTTCTCTCCCAGACCCCTTCCTCAGACCAGAGTCCTCCAGCATCCCAGCATGCTCTGCAGCCCTGGGCTGGGCTGGGCTGTCTGCTCCAGAGAGCAGGGCTGGCCCCGCCCCCCTACTTTCTAGCCCAAGCAGGGGCAGGGACATGGCCAGACACATCCCTAGCATGGCCCCATTAAGGCAAAGTGGGCAGGGAAGGGAAAGGGGTTAATTCTCCCCCCCCACCCTGCGCAGCTGGAGTCTCCCTGTCTGTGGGTGAGCAGCTGAGGTGGAGGTGGCAGCTGGGGCTGGCAGACCCCAGCTGCGGTAGCTGGTGGCAGAAGGGCTGGATGGAGGGAGGAATTAAGCCCCTCCCTGCCCCCTTAGCCTTAACAGAGCCATGCTGGGACAGCCTCTGGACATGCCTCCGCCCCCACTGCTGGAGCTAATTTTTGGCCAGATTAGCATGGAGTGTGGGGCTTTTTGCCTTCCTCTGTAGCAGGGGGCATGATGCTCTTGGATCTCTCAAGTATATATTTACCACCTTTGCTGCAGCAGGGCATTGGCTCCTGTGGTCCCCCTGTTTTACCTGTAGTGGGTTAGGGATGACAGTGTAGTTTTGCTAACAGGATAGACAGTGGATTTGTTTAGGATGGTTTGGATAGGAATGATCCTGCCTCAGGCAGCGGTTTGGACAAAATGATCTCTCAAGGTCCCTTCCAGCCCTACTTCTCTGTGGTTCTATGATTCTAATATACATCTAACATACAGGAATTTATTTAGTAGCTATTGATGAACACAGTGTCTTTTAAAGAAAAAAGTTCAATTTAGAACTCTACACTTCTAAAATACTTAATGCAACAAGTAACAATTAAGATTAATGTTAGTGATAGAGACCAAACACAGAAAGGGGCTTTTTCTAATTGTCCAGTTTATTTACTTTGTCTATTTGTCAGCGCTTTGTAGAGACTTATTTTCACTGTTTCCCCAGCAAATCATGTTCCTTTGTATTGATGTAACTCTTTAACGCAACAGCATGGGTGAGAAGACTCTCTAGAACAAATAGGAAAAAGTGTTTGTAAGCCACACAAGAACTGGAAGGGGAGGGCTGAGGTGTAGACATAGGTGGAAATTTTTGAAGAGACAAATGGCAGTTTGGTGCCAAAGCAGGTAGAAAATCACTGGGCAGTGAGTGCCAAATAGACATTTTTACCGTTAAATAACTTCCCTGTAGTATCTGAGATTAGTTTTTACTCATTTTGTGAAACTAACTGTGTTTCAAATGGGGGGGCCATTTATGAGTGTGAAAGGGGAAACATTCAGAAATACTCCTTTATTTGGAAAAAATAATTGCTTTTTTCTTGGGAATTGGCTAAAGGGAAATTCAGTTGTTGAACTGCACTTACTTTTTGTGAGTTGCTTTTCCCAACCATTTGGCTAAAGATTAGAGAGGTTATAGGAGATATCAAGAGTTACAGGAATGCAGAGAACTGCCTAGTACTTCTCCTATTTAACCTATAATTGATTGATTGACCTATAATTGATATAATTGATCACCTATAACAGTGATTGATTTTTTTTTTTTAAATAAAAAGTTCAAGTGTTCTTCAACTGGTATTTTCCATATTTTGATAAATTTACCGAACTGCTAACCAAACATAATTACTTGCAAAATGCAGTTTCCTCAAAGTATTTAATTTAAATTGCTTTTAATTTTCTTGGTAGGTTTCCCAAACCAGCTGGTATGCCCTGTGTATATTTACATTGCTGATTATATAAAATGTTTGTTTTTTTTTTAAGTGTCAAGCTTTCATCACTTGGGTGGACTTGTTCTACACTCAGCATGAGTTCCTGAGCTTCTAGTCAATGAGGATTATTTTATCTGTTCAATTTTCCATGCCTGCCTCATGTTTGATCTTTATGGTTCCAGTGCTTCTGTATGTGAGGAAGGAGACTGATGAAGTGTTTGATGCTTTGATGCTGAAGTCGCCTACAGTAAAGGGGCTAATGGAAGCAGTAAGTATCTAATGTCTTTATGATATTTATCTTACCCTCTAAGAAAACTATGAGATTGTCAGTGGGTTATTTAGATACAGTGTGGTGTGCAGACAAAGACATTCTCATATATATTTAAAATTCTTCATAAAGTCCTCCTGCAACATGTTTCCTTATCCAAAATGCCGATTGAGTCTGAATTCAGTACTGTTAGCAGATCATTGAAATAAGATAAACTTATATAGCTGATTTATTGGAAACTCGAGGCTTGAGGAATTGGAAGTAATTAAAAAATGTCAGAAGAAGAAAACAGAGTCAGACTCTGTGTTCTGACATACCTCTGTGCAAAAGAGATTCAGTGCACTTCAATCCTTTAGCTGTAATACCTCTATGTACATCCACAGCTATCACTTCTTAATCTTAGGATCCTGGCTGTCTTCCAGGTGAATATCCATTTTCTTTGATCTTTTGCAGGACAGCTCTGCTGGGGATGAAGGCATTTTTAGTAGATACCTTGCACATGCCATCTTGTGCTCTCCTTAATACCTGCTTCCAGCCACCCACTTTGTTTTCCAGCTTTCACTCCTAGAATGACTTGCCTCCCCTGTATAAACTGCCCAAACGTGCTCTGCTTCTTCTCTGTTGCTGATCAGCATTTAGTAATCCCTGATTTTCAGTGGAGACTTCCATATTTAATCCTTTTCTTATGACCTGGTACCAGTAGGTGGCATGTAAGTCGCATTGTGAGGTTTGGCAAAGGGCAGGACAGAACTAACCAAGTGTCATTGAGTGAGAGTGGGTGGAGTTCTAGACTTTGGCTTGATAAGAGTGAGAAGATGGGAAAGATCTCATTCAGCTGAGAAGTCAGGCAGGGATGGGACAGGGATGCCTATTGGGGGCTTATTTCTAGGTCCTCAGTTATGAGCACTCTTACCACTAGTACTGTAAGGGCAAAGTTGTGTTTGTTGTATATGGCCTGATAGCAGAGATTTAGGAACAAAACCTGATGAATTCCAGTTCCATGCATCAAGCCATTAATTAGCAGGGGAGAACAGGTTACAGATTAACAAAATGCTCTCAAGAGGTCATCTACACAAAAAGTACCTTCTGAGGACACTGGGAACATGGACTCCCCTGACTATGCTTTTTTATTATTATTTGGATTAGGGTAATGCTTCCCTGCTGAGACTAGTGTTATTAGGCAGTATTCAGTGTACACATGTAAAGGACAGTCTCCAGAGCCTCTGCCTTGAAGAGCTCATTACACCCTAGGGAATTACACAATTATGCGCCTGTGCAATTTTGCACATAAAATGCATGCCCTGTATAATTGCATAAATTTGCATAATTAAACCCAGGCAGGATCTGTTCCTCGACCTCCATGGGGCTCCCAGCACTCCAGCTAGGAGCCCCAAGAGGAGGCACCAAGTATGGTTGTGCACAACTGGACAGCTAGTGAGTGGGAAAGGGAGCTCCTGCCTGCAGAAGTGGGGTGGGTGGGTGTGGGCCCCCAGTCACACATCCATCCCCCTCATGGTGCAAAGTCCCTGCCACAGGGGATGGCAGCAGCAGGCAGTGGGCCCTCAGGGTCCTCATGACCACAGTAGGCAGAGCTCCCATCTGAGTCCCAGGGGCTGCACAAGGCAGCATGGAGCCCACCCACTCACCCAGGCCAGCCCACTGGCACACACCCTCAAACCAGACCAGGGTGGCTCCATGCCAGCATGTGGGGCTTGTGGCATTGCAGGCAGTAGCCATGAGCCACTGGGCCAAGCTGGGCCAGCTCCATGCTTCCATGTGGGTCTTCTGGCATTCCAGCAGGAAGCTGCACCTAGAGGCATGGAGTTTGCCTGGCCTGATGGTGTGCGACTCCCACCTGCAGTGCTGCAAGCCCCACGTGCTGGCACAGAGCTAGCCCAGTTTGGTTTGAAGGCATCAGTCAGTGGGTTGGGCTGGATCCGTGCCACCATGTGCAGCCCCTGGGACTTGGCCAGAGCTGCGTGCTGCTGGGGGGTTCTGCCTGCTGTGGCTGTGAGCGTCCCAAGGGTCTGCTGCTGCTGCTGGTAGCAGGGGCTGTGCACCATGGAGGGACAGATGTGGCAGGAAGGGCCCACACCCATCCAGAAAAACAAGACCTACCCACATGGGGTTTTTGGCACAGATATTAAGAATATAAGATGAAAATGTGGGAAAAAAGTAACTAATTTGTCATAATTTTGAATTTTTCTGCACATACTTCCCTGGGGTGTGGCATGTAGTCTAATTAATAATAGAGTTGTAATGTTCTTGTCTTTGTAGATGGTTTCCAAGGGTATATACAGACATTAATTATGCTTAGACCAGTCTAAGTAATCATAGATTGATCTAAACCAATAATTGTACTGAAGTTTGGCACACACAGACCAGTCTAATAATGGCACAAGGGATCTAAGATAGACCTGGTGCAAGATGCACTCAATTAAAATCAATTTAGACTAGACATGCATCAAACTTCTGTACTGTACTTAAATGTATTATAAGCAGGGATCTGGGGTTTCTGTTTGCCATGGGAAAATGCAGTAAAATGTGGATTTTCCCATTTTAAGGATTAAAACCTGGATTTTCTCTTTTTAAGGAGAAAAACACGGGAAGCGGTGGCTTTCCCTTTGTAGGCTGAGAGAGTTCCAGCTGGAGGGGGTGGGAGAAGGGCAATCAGGCTAGAGGTGCCATGTGCATGGGTACACGTGCACATGGCAGCCAGGCAGCATGAGCAGCTCCTGCAGTTCTCCCCAGGTAAGTCTGTGGGAGAGAAGGGAGGGAGAAACTTGAGGCCCCTGTAGCGAGGAGAGGGGGGTGGGCAGGTCTAAGGCTGGGTCTGGAGCTGCTGCCCGTTCAGGGTGGTGCATGTGGCTTGGGGCCTGAGACAAAAATACATGGCTTCAGGGCCTGGGCTAACAGGGGAACTGAGACATGTGTGGCTCATCTGGGGTGGTGAGGGCTCCCTGCTGCTGCATGTACTTTTGGAGGGGATATGGGGGTGGGGGGCACATGACCCTCAGATTTGTGCACTGGGTGCAGGTGGATGTGGGCTGGCAACTGCAGGCTCAGGGCTCCCTGCCCCCTGCTGCCACCCCCACTCCCCCCATGGGCCCAGCAGGCGGGACATGGTGCAGCAGGGAAGAGAGGGCCAGGGAGGCTTGATGCTGCTGCCAGAAGCTCCACACCGCCTTGGCAAGGCACCCCCTGCTCAGCCTGCAGTAGCAGAGAGCATGGACTGCCCTGTGGACAACTGTGCTGCCAGCCCTGCTGCTGTTGGCTGGGCAGGGGGTGCTACGCCACAGCAGTGTGGGGCTCCCAGCAGCACACTGAGCTGCCCCATCCATCCCACTCTGCCCTGCTGCACCAGGTCCCACCCTCTGGGCCACATAGGCCCCAGGAGGAGGGCAGGGGAGCACTGAGCGCACATCTGCCCTTCTCCCCACATGGGCTCTGCTCCAGCTGTGTCACCTGTGGGGGAGGGGGAGACAGGCTCTAGGCTCCACTCTGGCACAGCAGCTGCTGCCTCCCAGGGGTGGCAGCCAGGGCTCAGGTGCTGCTGGGGGCTCCCTCTGGCAGGACCAGGAGGGGCAGGGGAGTGAGGGGTACCAGCAGGGCCAGGGAGCTATGGCTTGAGAGTTAGGGGCAATGGCATGGTCAGGGCACCAGCATATCAAGGCTGCTGAGTGCCACAAAACAGGGGTGGGGTGGGGAGGGGGGGACAGTCGCAGCTGGACCTGTGTCCTGGTGAGCAAAGGGGATAGGGGGGACCTCTGATTTTCCATGATAAAACCCAAAATCAAACACCAAAATATATAGCCATTTAGAATTTTTATTATTGTAATTGAGCCACTGGCAGGCTTCCAAATTGCTTTAAAATTGTAACTATATCAGTAAAACAGTGTGTTCAACTGATACCTTTATGTATAGTGGTATTTCATTTTAATTGTGGAATAAACATGGATCTGGGGTTTTTTAACTAGAGAATCTGCTTGCTTTTTTTTTTTTTTTTTTTTTTTTTTTTTAAAAAAATT